GGAGGCAAGAGGTCAGACGGTGCCAACCCAGCAGGCTGGACTGAAGGCCTTTGTTACGTAGACTGTCTTTTCCAGTCATTTTTCTCCCCCACACAACCTCTAAAATCAGGGACCCTGGCCTCCTTACATACTGTTAGCACACACACACACACACACACGATCCCACATGCTTGTGCACACGAAGGAGAGTCTAGAAAGCAGATATGCCAGCTTGCTTCCCAACCATGTATTTCCTTTGGATTTGTGGAACAAAACACTGTTTCTCGTTGTTCCTCCTTAGGAGACTCCAGTCGCTGCCTTCAGTAGCTGGAAGGTACCTACTTGTCTAAACCAAACTGCCAGCATCAGAAGAAGAGAGGGTTCCTGGCAGACCGCATTCTGATCTGACAACTGACCTCATACTGACCACCCAAAGGTCACCCACACTGCCCCTCAGGCAGAGCAGCGTCCACAAGCCGGCTGCCCCAGTGGTCTGCCCCAGTGTCCACTCTGCCCACGTGTCTGGGCTGGCCACACTGTCTGAGGAGACGGGGTGGGGGGCAGGGGGGAGGGAAGAGGGAAGGAAAGGGACACTCCTGAAGTCCCTTCTACCAAACACACTGTGTGCATCTTCCCATCCACTCTGGAAGCCTGCTGGAGTCTAGGGAGATCTGTATGAGCCAGTGTGAGAGAGAGAGGGAGGGGAGGGGGAAAGGAAGTGGGGGGAATGTGTGCGTGCGCATGTGTGCACGTGTGTCCGTGCACCTCTCCCTCTCTTGCTGGCTTGCCCGCGCTCCCGCCTGCACTTTCTGCTCCAGGAGCTGTCTGCCAGGCTCTGGGAGGCTGTTGGCCAGAATCCAGCTCTCCCTGGGAGTAAAGCACAAACTTCATAAACTACGTTTACTGTAATGCAGGCTCCTAGGGCAGCTTTCCTCAGGCTTTCCTTCCCTCCTCTGTCTTGATCACATTTCATCCCAGCCCCTGTGTGCACCCAGTCCACACACACACACACACACACACACACACACACACACACGCACACACGCTCGCACGCACACACATGCACACACACTTTATAGCTGGTACTCCCGAAAAGGCTGCAGCCTGGGGCGGAGGGGAGCACGGACAAGGGGTACCGGCTGTGTTTAAAGGAGCAGCCTCCGCCTGGCCCTGGAGAGGGCCGTGTGGGTGCCCACGCCCTTGTCTCCGGTGGAGAGGAGCACAAAGGGCACTTTGAGGCAGGCGGGCAGGCGCCTGGGGAGAGGGTGTGCTGACATTTTGAGGGGATGACCAAATTAGGAGCCACCTGGAGGCTGGGCCCCGGGGCTCCGCGGAGGGAGAAAGAGAAAGCGAGGCCGCCAGGCTGCCACGCAGGTTGAGGTTTGAGAGGCCTCCCTTGTCTGGTGCTGTCAAGGTCAGCAGGTTCGGGTTCACCGGAGGGTCAGGATGGTTTGAATTACTGGCTCCGCTGCCACTGGGCTCTGAGGCTCGTGATCCTCTCCCAGCCCTCCCCCAGCCCTCCCGGCTCCTCCACCCCCACGGGGCTGGGTGGGGAAGATCCTGGGGAGCCTTCCAGCCCCAGCCCTGAGGAAGGCAGGCAGGAGGGGCTCCTTCCCTGGGCTCCTTGTGCAGCCCGCAGCAGTCCTAGGACCCAGCAGGCCTAGGACCCAGCCTACCTTCTCTCTAAATCCTTTTCCCAGGGGGTCTCCATGCCCCTGCCCTTCTCAGCTGCCCGCTGGCCTGCCAAGGAGGAGGTGCTCAGGGAGGCCAGCCTGCTAGCAGCAGGGCCTGGGGGACAGCCTCAGGGCCGGGCCCCTCCCTCCTGCCCACACAGCCCTGCCTGGGGGAGCAGGGCAACGCTGAGGCAGCGGATTTCTCATTTCTCGCTGGGTGCCCTTGCAGGGCGGGGGGAGGAGAACGAGGCCTACCTGCAGGGTGGGAGGTAGTTACCAAGGGAAAGACTAGGGTTTGAAGACAGTCTGACAAGGAGGGTGTGCAAACACATGCCCAGGCACACGCAGATGCCTTTGCTGAGAGAACTGTAATCCTGTGCTATCCCTCCCCACTCCCCGAACTTCCTGTGGTGGAGGCCCCTCTACTGCTAACCTGCACATTCTCTCCTGGGGGCTGGGGTCTTCCTATTTATTTAATGTTTTGGCATTTTATGAAAGAAAAGAAAAGAAGAAGAAAAAAAAAAAGCTCTTTTGTGCTAAATTGCAACATACTTCCCCAAACAAGGAAGTCTAATTCTTTATCTACAACAGCACGAACTGGTCAGGAGCCTGAGGTGGTTAATGATTGGACTGAAGTCTCTGGTTTAGACTCAGGGGTTTATGCACAAATTCGTGCACCCATGTCAGCTCCGCACCACCCTGGCTGACCCCAGGCCTTCCCCACAGAGGAAAGCCAGCCCCTGTGTGGACAGGCCCCAAGGAGCAGGCCTGAATAACACATGGCCATGTCCCACACCCACCTCTGCATAATGGCATGGTCCGTGTTCATCGGGCTCACGGCCAACATTGTCCACAGTTTGGCTAAAATTTCGATCCAACTAAGATAGAAAAATTCCCCCCTCAGCATGAACGGCCTGGTTTCCCAGTTTACTGGGAAGATATAATCATAACAACAAATATGTGCTCATGAGTGGATTTTTTTCTTCTTTTTCTTTGTGTCTTAGTGCATGCGGACCTTTGAACCTTAGCTCTTTCTTAGCCTAGAGTGGACATTAGCCAGCATTTGAATATTCGTTGGGAAATAAATACAGGTGGAGCTTTGTGAATGCAGCTAAACTCGGGTCCTTGTCTAGATGGCGGATTACCTTCCTGGGGCTTGGTCTCTGGGCTTCCCTAGGACCTGCCTCACAGGGGTGGTCTGTGGCCTGTGCTGGGTCGTCTAGTGCACGTGAAATCATATCATTCTGGCAACAGCCCACAGAGCACCTGTCCCTGGAGAAACTCAAACTCTGCTTGGCTTCCCTCCGCCAATACAATGCTTTCTGCCAGGGCCCAGAGGACAGTGGAAGCAAAACGAGGCTCCATGGTTCTGTGCCCACCATGTGAGCTCACTTCAGAGCTCTGAGGGCACACCACCCCAGGTCCACACTCCTGGGTGGGGATTCTTTAAAACCAATCGAGAGAGAGAGAAAGAGAGAGAGAGAGAGAGAGAGGATTAGATGGTGAACACACATAACTGTGCCCAAGTACTGGTTTTAGGTTAGGGAATCAGTGAGACCTCGTTTTGTTTACCCAACACAGTACAACTTCACTGTGTCTTCTGGGCCCTCCTCGGCACCCTCCCAGCTCCGTCAGGCTGAACCCTGGCCCACTAACACAGTATGGAAACGTCCCCAAGCTCTTCCCTTGCAGGAAAGTTCAGATCCTTCTCTGCTTCCACCGGCCCCCTGCAGCTGGACCCTAAGGCCACAGAAGACAGACACGGTGGGCCTGAGAGAGTCAGCTCCCGCTTCTGCCTCGACATGTCTGCCCATGCCAGCCTACCAGGGTGTGCCCGCCTGCAGACTCCCCCCCTCAGCCTCCTCCAGGACTGAGGGCTGCGCCCACCGTCCCAGGGCGGGCCAGCGGGGCAGTGGCAGCCTCTCCCCTTCCAGAGGGTCCTCCTTGCCTGCCTTTTCTGACACCGGCACTCTTCCCGCTGCCCCCGGAAGGAGCGCGGGGAAGAGGCTGGTGGCCAGGGCACGCCTGGTTTACATTAATGAGATACACCGGGTGTAATCCAGCCGGGGAGGCGGCCCACAAAAGGAGGCGATCGCGATCGCGGGCGGCCAGGAGCAGAGCTGCTCAGGTAATTGGTTTATCTATCTGGAAGCAGGGGGAGCAATCTCGGCACAGACAGACTAGCAGTAAAGTCTCTTCCTTAAGGCTATTTCCTTTGTCTTTTCAATTGCCTGCACATCCATGTGAGAGAGAGGGAGAGAGTGTTAAAGAGAGAGGGAGAGGGAGAAATGTTAATTTGTGAATTAATGGCTTTTCTCAGCGGAATTGTAAATTCAAATGTCACCTCACACGGTGACACCGCGGCTGGTCTGCTGAAGAAGCAATGATAAGATCCCCCACCTCCCCCGGTGCCCCTCCCTCCCCAAAGATCGCTGTGGAGTGGAACATGCTACTTTTAATTTGCAATAACAACACAACAGAGGTATGCGGTAATGACTGCCTTCTCTACCCTCCTCCTGGCTCGCTTCCCCCCAGTCCAGTTGGCTCCCCACTTCCTCCCTCCCTTTGCTCTTCTGAAACATCACCTCACCCCACCCTGGATGTCCCCCACCGCACCCCTGCCTGGGCCTGATCACATGGGGGGGGGGTTGCCTTTGGAATTGACGATGCTACAACCCTCTCTTCTCCTTCAATAATCAGGGAATTAATGACCCTGAAGTTAAAGTGAGGCTGATACCGAGGCCCTGCCCAGCGTTGGGAAAAAGCCTTCATTGTTTTCAAGCAGGAGGCGGGCAGCAGTGAGGGAGATTCATGGATGGAGATTGAATATGCAATTTTCTTTCACCTTGCCAAGAGCTGCCCCTGGGCTGTGCCTGGCCTAAATTTTTCCTTTTACCATCTCTGCCTTATCCGGCCCTCCCACCTCCCTTCCATTCTTTCCAGAAAATTACCTTCAAAATTGATTTCCACTTTTACAAACAAATATAATGGGAACACAGGAAAAAACTTGGGCCGTGATGAATTAGGGCTGTCAGGTGCTTCCAGGTCTCCTTTGCTTTTGTTTTACTACCCGATCTGCTCTTTGTTTTTCCAAGGGCTGGAAAACGTGCCCCCCATCCGCGGGCTGCCTGATCCTCCGGGCCACTGGGGTCTCACCCCCACGCCCAGCAGTGGCCCGTGGAGAAAGCGATCCGGGCCCTGAGGTTCTGTTAGCCTCTTGGTTTCCCAGCGGAGGCTTGAGCCACTTCCTCCTTTCCTGCTCACTGACCCTTAGGACCCCACTCTCTAACCGCCACCCCCAGCTACTTCCCCCTGACCCCCACACCATGTTCCCTCTGGCCCCCATACCTCTTAAAGTCCAGACCAGATGCAAACCTCCACCTCCTCTAATGTGGGCAGGATCAGTGTATACCTCGACTGGAGCAAATGAGAGACAGACAGACGGACACTGAGAGATCCCGAAAGACAGGCAGATAGAAGAGGGGGCAAGACCCCGAGATTGGGAGACCAGGCTCTTCTTCAAAGGGTATGAGGGTGCTGAGTGGCAACTCCCAAATAGCCTGAGGGCATCAGGGCTCCCCGCCTGTCTCCCTTGCCTTGAGTCCTAGGCCACCCCTGGAGGCGGGTTCAGTACAGCCTATCCATTTGCCAACGGAATGCAGGGTAATGTCTGTGGGGCCCTGTGCCTCAAGGCCATGGCCACTAACACATACAGGCCTGGCTTGAGTTCTCCCTGTTCACTAGCACTTGTAGACATGCAGCTGCTCACATTTGATCATCTCTTCAAATATAAACACTTTCCAGAAGGCTGCATGCCTGCCCGATGTCTACAGCCCCTTTCACCCAAAGGTCTCAGAATGCTGGAAAACACACGCATACACTTTCAAAAATTATGTAAAAAAATTTACATATATGTTCATAAACAAAGTAAACTTACACATGGGAGCGGAAATGCACAGTAGTGAATAGAGGGAGGGGTAAGAAAGATGGGGGTCCTATATTTACATACAACTGAAATGTCTTTGGATGCTAAGAGAGGACCTGTGACCCAACTAGGTAGCTGCAGAGCCAATGAGTAAGCAGAGATAGACAAACGGCCCCCATCACACATGGGAGCTGACATCTTTCCCTGCTGCCCCAGCTCCCCTCCTGACTAGGGCCACCTCAAGACTAGCGAGGCTCTGCCCAAGTAAGTCTCTTCCTGACATGACTTCATTTTCTCTCAAAACTCAAACCTGCCAATTAATTAGGTCTTTCCCCCCCAGAAACACAGTGACCCATCTTCCAAGATGGATTGGCTCAGCATTCTCTATCCATGACCTCCTGTAGAGTCCTTTCCACGGTCCCTGTGAAGTGAACACTGTTACCGTCTCCCCTTTACAGAGGAGAAGCCTAAGCTGATGAAGGTTAAGTGACTTGACCAAGGCACTAGGGTTCAAACCCAGCCATGCCTGACTCCAGAGCTCACACCTTTCCAACTTGGTCACCCTGCCCATTCATCCCAAATCCTCCTTCGGGGGAGAGGGGTGGAGTCTGCAGCCTTCCCCTGCCCTGGATCCACAGCTTCATTTCCTCCTTTGCTCCAAGTCTAACCTGAGCAACACACTTGGGGACCTCGAGGAGGGAAACTAACTAAGGAAATACCCTGCTTCTTCCAGTTACGGTTCCATCCAAAGCAGAAGGGAACTATAAAGGTAGTGACAGGACTTGGTTACTTTCAGCCGTGCAACCTGCCCTGCCTGCAAATGCACAACTGCACCGGTTTGGCACCACTCAACTGCACAACTCATTGTGCACCTAATTAATGGAAAGCAAAATCACAGCCCCCTGCAATCCCACACGTCAAAGGGTGAGACCAACACTCCTCCCGCCCACAGATTAACAGACTCAGACCATATGACTTCATTTGGATTTTTGGACAGGTTACGCCATTGCTCCGTGTTTCAATGACACCAATGGACAGCAACACTTTGGGCCATGGCTGAAAGCAAAGGCCTTTGGTTCTTCAGCCTAAAAAGACAGGAGCCTCTTTATCCTCCAGCCACATAAGCCAAGACAAGCCACGTTCAGGGAAGCAGTATCCTTCCAAGGACCCTAATATACTCTGCTATAATTGTACCCAAAAAGAGGTAACGCTTTTACAGGCCCACAACAGGGTTTTACCTTCCCAGACAGTCTTCTGGGGGCTTTGTGACATAACTTACTCATCTGTCACTAGCCTGTCTACCCGACTGATTCTGGGATCTCCTGGACTCTCGGGGTTTAGGCGGGGAGGGGGTTTCCCAAAGCTTCTTGACTAGCATATTTCTCCAAGGGAAGACCGGAGATTCTTCCACCCTTCCCAAGGCCAAGGCCTGAGAAGGTCTCTCAAGCGAACTCACAGTCACTGTCAGTTTCTTTTTCCCCAGAGTCACAGCTGATCGACCCTTTACTAATATCCCCGCAGATATGATTGCTGCAGATACTAATAACGCTGTCCATATTCCAAGTGCCAGTGCCAATAATGCTCTGGGTATTATCACTGTGAACACCAATAACTACTGCTGAGATTGTCTCCAATAACGCCGGCACACGCGGCAGTGATTGTCCTCGCTAATGCCCAACACCATGACATTGTTAGAGCTGAAGAATAGGCTGAACCGTACCCAGAGGCGGGAGCGGGAGTGGCCTCCTTGAGGACAGAGGCTCACAGCTTGCCCTCGGAGTATGACACTCCTAGGGAGATGCCACAATAAGAGCCCCCCCTCACCCCCCAAAAAAGCTATCCTGGCAAGGCATCAGGCTTCTCCTGGAGGGAGATGTGTCTGTCCACTCCCTCAGCCCCTTGGCACGCATACCTGTTCCCATCCCGGGGCCCCTCAGCTCCTCCAGCCAGCTTTCTCTTTTGCCTGCGGTGCTGGCCCAGGAGCTAAAGGACACACCTGGGTGTCTGTGCAGCCCAGGCTGGAGGCTGCCTCCTGCTACCGGCCTGCCAGCTGCTGTGCTACCTTGGCCTGACTGCGGAGTTGGGCTACATCATCTTGACACATAATTATCTCCCCTATTCTTAATCATCTGAGCTGCTCACTAATGCAAACGGGGCCTGGCTGCTTAGAGGCACCGAGAGTGGGGGATGGGGACCGCAGGCTGTGGAAGGTCTGTCTTTGCTCTCTCTTTTCCTCTCTTCCCATCTGGGTCTGATAGGTCAAGGGTATGCGGTGTGGGGACAAGGGGTCAGAGAGAACTGGCCTCCCTTGCAGGCTTTGCCGGGGAAAGGTCAGCTCTATCTGATCTGTGGTTGGTCAATAGGAGGGAGAGTTGGGGCAATAGAACCCTTTCACTCCCCCTCCCCCCCCAAAAAAAGCAGTAGGGCCTCTGATCCTTCCTGTCACCCAGCTAGGCCCAGGGAGGGAGTGTTTATGCAGGAAGCGTGGAGATGCCCCTGTCCCTCATCTAGAGGAGTTCAACTGCCCACTGTCACCCCATTGGAGGGTGAACTTCCCAAACCCAGCCCTGTCCTTTTCCCTTCCTGCTCAGACACTTTCGGTGACTACTCACGCCAAATGCCTTATATGATCTGATCTTGACCTGATCTGCGACCCTAACCCATTCACTTAGCCTGATTTCCCGTGACTTCCCCTCCTGCCCTTTCATTCCAGCCAAAGTAGCCCTGCACTTTCTCATCACAGAACCTTCTGATCACAAGGCTGGGCCCAGCAGTGAATGTCACAGCACCATTGCCTTTGAACATGCCCCTTGCCCATTCCTCAGGGCCCTCCCTCGGCACAGACCAGCCCTCCTGGGGTTTGTTCTCTCCTCACTCTGAGCTCCCATGGCCCGCAGCCCAGGCCTCCACCACAGCACGGATATCTGATGGGCCCTTCTGCCCTCTGGGCTCACGTGTTTGACACGCCCCACCAGACGGTAAGCTCCTTAAGGACAAGAATCATATCTTGTTCTGCTTTGGGACCCTATAGCACCAAGCCTTTCTTGTTATTCACACACAGGAAGGGTTCACTGAATTGAATTGACTTGAAACAATGAATGTGACCAATTGCTCAGAAAGAAGAGCACTCTGTTCTGGACCAACCAGACCCAAGCTGGGGTGGCCACAGCCTCATGTCGGTGCCTCCCTACCCCTTGGCCTCTTTCCATGGCCCATAGGAGCCCAGGAAGCAAAAAGCATTCTTGTGTCCCATCACAGGACAATGGGAGAGAGAGGGGAGGGGGTCTGTGGCCTACCCTGGCTTCCCCTACAACTCTCGCTCTAAAAAATGCAGGGCGGTGATTGAAGGAGAAACCCCTTAGGGTTTGGGGGAAAATCTTCCAAACGCTCAGGGTATCAGGAAGCTTGGCTAAGGCCTGAATGTGGGAAACCCTCAGGGAGAACTGGAATTAAGGACCTTTCACAGAGCCTCCCCCTGCCCATCAGGGGCCGTGGCCAAAACAACCACAATGAAATTTAGTGAGTAGCAAAGGCCGTGGCAGCCAAATGGGTTTGGATATTTGGGAAGAAGGAGAAATAGAGCCAGACAAGCTGTTTCCCTGTGAAACGAGGCCATTAGGGCTTCTGGAAGGAGGCCAGCACCAGGTCATCACTGTCTTGCCAGACCCAGGCCTCTCCTACATGCTGCCCCTTCTCCTGGAGGCCAGGGCGCTCCTACTCTTTTCCTGGGGCCCAGGGAACCTCAGCGTTGTCCCTTTTCTCTGTTCCACACCCTCTAAAGCTGCCCCAATTCAAGGGCTCCTCTAGGCTTAGGATGACTATATGACTTATTGTCTAAACAGGACATTTTTGAAAGAACAAGGAGATGCTGACTGGGTAAGATGCAGAGACAAAAGGTATAAATTGGGACCATCTGGACTAATGGGATATATGGCCACCCCCTTTATCCTCATCTCTAGAGGATTCTGCCTGTTTCATGGTATCCTTTAAATCATACCCTTAAAATACCCTTAAAATCACACACACTCCCTAAACCAGAAGGGACCATGAGTTTGGGGGTATAAGCAGGTTCCAGGCACTGGTGTCTCTGTTTGCCAGGGCCTGGCAGCCCTGCACCCTGGCCATGCATCATAAGAGAACCAGATGGTCACCAAGGGACCTCTACTGTCATCCATATGAAAAACACCTTCTCCCAAGCTCATGGCCACCTCTCTCTCCTCTTACTCCCTTTCCCCTCTCCTCTTCCTTTTTATTTCCCTCTCTACCGCCATGCTTAACAGCTGGCTGCACCATGAGATATCACAGGGACTGAGGGAAGGCCAGAGGGAAGCCACAGTGGTGTCTCCTCCCATGGGGGAGCACAGAGAGGAACCCAAGTCCAGCTCCCTGACTGGTTTTAGTGGGGCCAGTGTCCATGTGTCACAGAGAAAGGACGCCAGGATCAGCTGTATGTGACGTCACGCCCCACCCTCCCGATGGGTTGGGATCAGGTGAGGACAAGGCAAACTGGCCTTTTATCCTCAGGTCAGAGACCAGATGTCCCCCAGCCTCCAAAATCTTCCCAAGGTACATGGTTCATGCTTCCCTTCCTGGAATCCCACGGAGATATGGGGGGTGAGTCCCAGAGGAAGGTGAGCAGTCAAGGCTGCTGAGCAGATGGTGAAGCTGATGGCCCCACCAGCAGCCTGCCTCCCTCTCTCCAGGAGCCAGCAGGGTAGTGGGGGGACCTGGGCTTTGCCACTAAAACTGATCTCACAGCAGAGCAGCTGCGAGGCTGGGCCGAAACCGGAGCTCTGAGTCCAAGGACAAAGCATGCACAGGGAAGCCAAGCCTCTTCCCTCCTCCCTACCTTCATCACGTTTCCTCTTCTCGCCATTGGAGCGAGGGATCCCCAGGATCCCGTTGATGGAGTAGGATCCCACTGGATCATTGGAAGCGCTGGAAACGGGAGGGGAGGCCGTGCTGGGAACTGGATGAGAATAAGGAGGAAATGCCATCAGGAAAGCAGTTGTGACAGCAGGCCAAAGCCCAAGGTGGGAGTGGGGGGGTGGTGGGGGGAGGCAGAGAGAAACAGAGGAAATAAGGAGGGAAGGGGAGCTCATATTTCCCTTCTTCCTCTGAGGTTTGAGAGGGCATTGCTACATACAGAGCAGGTTATTCACTTCTGTCCAGTCCCGGACTGAGTGGTGACCAGTCAACCCAAGCCTTCTCTGCAGACCTACAGAGTTCACTGATGCCCTGAACTCACACTCCCCTGAAGATGAATGGAAACCCAAAGCTGACTCAACCTAAACAGTGACTCAGCAGTCCTGAAGTGAGCACAGCTCCTAGGAGGCCTCCTGGCACAGCTCATTCAATCCCCGGGGCCAGGAAAACCCTAAACAAACTGCATTTCACTGCCTCTTAGTCTCCTGGGCTGAGTCTTTACCGATCCTGATTTAGAGTCTATGGCTTTCTAAGATCTGGCTCTGAGTCCCTAGGAGACACAAGAACGGTCCTGATAGTCTCCAGGAGCGCAGAGCTCTTCTCTCCCAGTTGCTTCTGGTCTTGAAATCACTTGAGAAGTTCCTCATTCCCCCACCCAGGCACAGAGTAGTGAACACATGCACACTGTAATGATCTACTCAGGTACAGCCCAGCCCAGCCCTCCTTCCTAGCACATGCTGTAATACAGGCCTAGTAAACAACAGATCCTGCCAACTCCAGGAGGGCTGGGACCTGCCATTCTACTTCCTGCTGGTCTAGATAGCAGGGGACAGCTGCCAAGAGGGGCAACAGGAAAAGCTTGGTCACATCCAAGCTCCTTAATACTTGGTACCAAGCACCCTTGGGCCAAAGGGAAGACTGTATGATTGGGGGTTGGTGGGAATGTTAGCAGGTGCTTTGGTATGGCCTGGGTCATGTCTCTGGAAGGCCATGAGCAAGGATCCATAAATAAGGAGGCTGGAGAGAGGCAAAGAGTTACCAAGTGGATGACAGAGAGACAGAGATCAAAAGAAACAGGCTATGAAGAGTGAGGGAGAGACAGAGGAACAAACCCAGAGCCTCACATATAGAGATGAGGAAAGAGAAAGAGAAAAAGGGGGGGGGGGGAGAAGAAGGTAGAGAAGAGAAGAGAGTGATAATTTTAGAAATTAAAAACAAAACAAAAATGGAGTAAGATAGTAGATAGGGGAAAAAAAAAAGGGACAAGTAGGGAGAGAGGATCAGATAATAAGGAAAGATGGAGAAGGAGAAAGGGGAGGAGAAGCTATGCTGAAGGGGAATATTAATAGGGAGGAAGGGGAGGAAAGAAATAGATAGATATGGAGAAAGGGTTAGGGATCCCAGGGAGCTAGCCTCTCTCAAGGATACCCCTGAGCCTCTAGGATAGGGGTGTCGAACTCAATCAGAGAAGGGGCCAAAATCTAAAATCCAGCCTAAATCGCGGGCCGAATGGTTTACTGAACAGTCATAAACTGTCATTGTGATGGAAACGCAGCGGAGTGCAGTGATGACAGCGCGGTGCGGGCCACATTGCAAGGCCTGGCGGGACGGATTTGGCCCGCGGGCCTTGTGTTTGACACATGTGCTCTAGGAGCTCGGAGAGAGTGCAAATTGGGGGGGGGAGGGAATAGTTCTGGGGCAGAGCTGCATATCCAGCTCTCTCAGGTGGGGCCCTGCTTTCCCCCCGCCCCCCATGTCCCTGAGCCCTCTTACCAATGGTGTGGCCAGGCGCAGTCACTCCGGTCCCAGCCCCATCCGGTGTTGGGTGAAAAGGCTGCTGAACTTTGGTCCGGATGATCCTGCAACAGCATCACAACAGCATCACACATCACATGCCCCTCCTTCCCCGGCAACTCTAGCACAGACCCGGAGAGACCAGCCCCTCAGCTCCTTCCTCACTCACCTGCTCCCTGCACCCCTGCCCTCACTGACTGCTACAAGGCGTGCTTTCCTTCCTGTTTGCTCTGCGGATCACGGATCAGCAGCGCAGCTCTGGGTGGAGGCCGCCTGTCTGCCTCTGTCCTGCCATGTGTGCATCATCTGAATTGCAGCTTGATTTTCGGTAGCAGGTATTGGGGCAGCAGAGTGGGTAGAGCACAGCACCCTTCCCCTTTGTGAGGGTGGGGACTCCCCCTTCCCCTTTCCTAATCACATACAAATCTCTTCCCGGGAGAGGACTCCCTAGAGCTGAAGACCATTTTGGAGCTGGCTTTCCTATGGGGGCTGTACCACACACCTCCAGAGTTGAGGGAGGGGGCAAAATTTCCCCATTTATTGAGCCAAGGAGAAGGGACCAGGGAAAGGCTACATTACAGGTGACCCTTCTGTCCCCAGGATTCCAGCACAGCGCACGGTCCCTTTGCCAGATGTCAAGCCCTGAACAATTTCTCACGTACTACTCTGTCCCTGTCTAGCTCGCTGGCCTGATGGTCTCTTTTTCTGAGGTCCTACTTGGATCAGAGCTTCTTTACTAGGCTAGTCAAAAAGCCTGGTGCCCCCCAGTGTGCCCTCTGGGGTGAGTCAAACAACCCAGGACTGGGGATGGGCTGGCTTGTCCGGGATTGAAGGACCAAGGGCTGTGTGAGACCGAAGGCCAGCCTTGGGGCCAGGACTGAGGAATGCTCTCTTCCATCCACTGGCCAAACTGGGTGCCCTGGGAAGCACTTTTCCCAACAGTGTTGCTCCTCCCTGCAGAAATGTGTGTGATCTAAGCTCACTTCAACCAGCAGGCAAGGCGTAAGCCATGAGTGCGTCCTCTCTAACCAGCTTTTACTGAGCGCTGCCAGGCAACAGAAAGAAGGCCCTTGTCTGAAAGTGCTGGGTATAAAGTTAGGGAAGGAAGACACACACTCAAAGAAAGCTAAGTTACTCCAAGGGGGCCAACTGTAAGTGCCAAAAGGCATCGTCCCCCTTGCGGGCAGGGTAATCGGGAGAGAAGTCACTGTGGGGGGTGAAACTTTATGTAGTGCTTCAAAGCAGAGTAGGGCTAAACATACAGATACAAAAAGGAACAAGAGGCACAGAGGATGGCACACAGGGCACGGGGTTACATGGCAGGGGCCCCGAGCCCTGCTTCTGATTCTGCTATTTTTTGGCTACATAGCTTTGGGCTCATCATTCTACTTCTTCTCTGGGCTTTAGGGTTGTTTGCTTGTTTGTTTGTTTGCTTTAGCCTAAAAAGCTTACACTACAGCAAACATTGTCAAACTTGTGGCCATTAGGCCACATGCCTTGTATATATTGAGGCATGCATCCTGCCGGCTGTGAGTTTGACATGCTTGGACTATAGAATCCCTAAGGTCTCTTTCTCCATTAAAAAACATGATTCTAAGATGAACAAAGAAGCAGAGGGTGAAACATTATAATCAGGTGTTGGAGGGGGGTAGAATCAAAGCATCGGAGCCAAATGAACCTGATGTTCTAGGGCACATGTGTCAAACACAAGGCCCGCGGGCCAAATCCATCCCGCCAGGCCTTGCAATGTGGCCCGCACCGCGCTGTCATCACTGCACTCCGCTGCGTTTCCATCACAATGACAGTTTATGACTGTTCAGTAAACCATTCGGCCCGCGATTTAGGCTGGATTTTAGATTTTGGCTCCTTCTCTGATTGAGTTCGACACCCCTATTCTAGGGGCTCATGTCCAGACCAGTCAGGCAGAACAGGGGAGGTATATAAGGGAGGAGAGGAAATAAGGCTTCAAACTTGGAAGTGATGAGAATTGTGATTTCCCACTTACTGAGCATCTATTATGTGCCAATATTTTATGCAATTCATACCACTTGCATACACCAGTGTTAATTCTCACAACCTCCAAGGTGTACACTGTTATCCTCAATGTGCAGATTGAAAACCAAAGCTGGCAGAGGCTAAGAAGCTTGCTGGAGATTACACTGCCAGTTAGGGCAGAGTTACAATTCAGTCCCCAAAATGTATGCTTTTGTCACACTTTCCCCAATAAACGGGGACCAGGTTTAGAGGGTCTCAGGCCCACGAGCGATTTCTAAACTAGAGGGGGCACTACAAACTGATTCTGGCAAAGCAGTATAGAGGCAGGAGGCGATGAGGGGCTGGTCTCAGGAAAGTAAGAAAGAATTTGCAAGATATGGTGGAGGCAAAATGGCCAGGAGTTGGCAATTACCTGGAGTCTATCATAGCTCTAGAGACCCAAGTCTGGTAACTGAAAAGCTGGTGGTTTGTAAGGAAGAGGGATGCAGCATCAGGAGGGGGAGGAGTGTCCAGGTGGACATGCCCACACCCAGCTGGCACAGCAGATATGGATTTGGAAGGTTGTCAAGGAGAGGAGTGTTGAGAGGTTCAAGAGGCCTGAGGAGTGGACACCAGTTTCAGAGACTGGGAAAAGGAACCTGGCCTTGCAAGGGGTCAGAGCTGGCCACACAGGAAAGGGAAGAACCAGGATCCTCAGTTTCATCGAACTCAATGGAGAAGACTGTTTCCATAAAGAACACAGCCCACAGTGTCAACAGCGACATGAGGACTGGAGGGAATTGGGAACAAGAAGGGGCATAGATTTAGGGATTTGAGTGACTACTAGTGACCGTGGGGAGAGCAATATAAACAAAGGGAAGGAGCCAGACAAAAAGAGGTTATTAGGAAGTACACAGGAGGAAAGGAGAGAAAAGGGTGGAAGCCAGGGGCGATGGCCTGAGCAGAGGGAAGGCTTTCTAAGGTAGAGGAGACCTGGATACGTTTTTAGGCTGAGGAGGAAAAGCCTGGGAAGAGGGAGCGATTGAAATTGGCTAAAAAGAGGTTGTGAATGCTGGTGAGAGCAAGACAAAACAAGAGGAGAATGGAATGGAGAGCACAGGGGAGGAATTAGGGAGAGAGGGCATGTTTTGAGGGAGTCCAATGCTTCGAAAAGGAGCTTTTTCTCTTGGCAGAACAAGAAGGCAAGGTCATCTCCCAAGAGTTGGGGACGGGGGGACGTGTTTGGAGCATCATCACAATGGGAGAGACTGGAGTAGCTAAGGGCAGTGTAGCCTGGTCTACAGGAAGGGCCTAGAAAGAGGTGGAGCAGTCCAGAGCAGCTGCTTCTAATTCATTGCAGCAACAGCTTCTGGGATCTCACTGGCCGGTGGGTGGCTCTGGCTTGAGGGCCAATGGGCTCTGGACTAAGGAAGCCTCAGAGCTGGGGCTGGATGAGACAGATAAGGGCTGGCCTTGTGGAGTTACTGTCTTTGTTATCCAGTGCCTCTGACCCCTGGGGCACAGGTGCAGACTTAGCTGAGGCAGCAAGTGATAGAAAAGCACTACCCCCTGACAGTGGCTCGGTGGTGCCTGGGAGAGGAGCTGGGCAGGTTGCCTGCTGTCACCTATCCCCTCTGGGCTCTGGGCATTTGCAAGATCCAGAGCTGATTTCAGGGAGTTTAAGAGCTGGGACTGTGGAAACCTGATGGTCCAGCTGTTGCCTTCCTGCATCTCGTACACAACCCAACAACTCACAGGAATCTCATGAGGATGGAGAAAAGCAGTTGCCTTGGGTGACTGCTTGATACTATTTCCCCCAGTTCCTCCTCCTCTTCCTCCAATTCTTTTTCATTCTTGGCCCTATAGACAGCCAGACACCTCTGTGGCCTCCAGGGTCCCAGGCAAGTTTGGCCTGGAAAGTCAGTCAGTCCAGCATATGGGTCTTTGGAGGGTGCAGTCGGGAGCCCTGAAGAGCACATCTCTATAGTTGGCTGGGAGACGCTATTTCATGTTTCCGGAAAGACTGCCCTGTCAGGGTGCCTGCTCCCTGCTTCTTTTCCCAGCATGCTTTTCCCCACAGGGGTGCTCTTTCTCCACTAACTTTCTGGAACCTCCTGGGCTCTGTCGGGGCCCAGCGTGGGGACTTCAGGCAGTTAGTGTCTCCCACACTCACAGGAGTATGACCAGAACAAAGGCAGAAAGGGCTCCGTCTGAGCCCCAGCTCTTGTTACTTGTTGCCTTTGAAACCCTTGCAGTTTCTTGTTCCCTCACCTGTATAATAAAATAATAGTACTGTTTACTTCCTGGGACTATAGTGAGGATTAAAGGTGATAACTCATGTGAAACAATTAATATGAAGCTTGGCTCAACAAGTGCTGGCTATAATAATAACAAATGGTAGTATTGCCATGGGCGACCCCTAGGCCTGGCTGTTTTCTATTTAGGGGCTGAGCCAGGTGCAGGCAGGAGGCCTCCCAGCCCCACATGCCCCAGTCTGGTCAATGCAGCTGCTACAGAGACACTGAGAAGTGAGGAAACAGCAGCAGCAGGTGTCTCAGCCTGACCCAAAAACAGGTTGCATCAGAGAAGACCGACTGGGGACCCCTGCCTGGGGGTGGATCTGTAGACAATATGAGCAGCAGCTTCTTCTGGACCCAAGCGATACCAGGCTGAGCTTTACCGTAAAGGATAACAAGGCAGGTGGAATCACTCCATCATGGGTAAATTCCCAGGGAGCTTTCAGCTCCCGCCAAGAGGAGAGGGAAGGGATCAGTCTAGGAGCTCTGTGAGTCAGAATGAAAGCATGTAACCAGTCGCTTCGTAATAGTTTGTTAAACTCATGAAGAAACACAGAAGCCCTCAACATTCTAAGAAAGCAGTGGGGACCTTCTCAATCCTTCTCTGGCTCTACACCCTCTTCTTCCTCCTTCTCTCATCCTTTCTTCTGCGGTTCACTCTTCTTCTGCCCTTCCCTCTGTCTCTCTTCTTTGTCGTCTGTCTATCTGTCTGTCTCCTTGCACCCTGAAGTCCCAGTGTGGCTGTGTGAGTTTATTGATTTCTGGGAGCTGGGGGAAAGTGGGAGGCAGGGCTG